TTTTTTTTTTTTTTTTTTTCCAACCAAGGTGCCACAGCCTTGAGATCCTTTCAAGGGTGCCGTGGGGTGTTATTCAATGTTAGCACTGTTAGGTGTGAGGATTGGATTCACATGATAAACCCAGAGATTTCAAATAGGAATCTGTAGTGATAAAAATATTCTGGTCTGTTGTGGTCTTTCTGAGTTCTTTGCAACAGAAGAATCTCTCTTTTATTTTCTTGTAAAAAACAAAACAAAAACCCAAGTGAACACTATGAGCTGGTGTTTTCCTAGGTGTTCACTGAACCTCTTCAGGGGTGCTGTGAGTCTAACGATGTTGAGAACCACTCTTGTAGGCTAGCATAGTACATTACAGCAGTGTCATAAATAGAAAATTTGAGGGAAATAAAACCTTGGCAGCTGATCTTCGACATTAGGTCTTTTATCTTCTGAGGAGCTTCTTTTCTGTAGATCTGTATTGAAGTCAATGAGATTTCATGCAGGCACTGGGGTCCAGCTGTTTACTGCTGCTTGCACTTGCAAGACTCAGGTCTTAATTATGAATGTAAGTGTGAATTGAGGCAAGAGGGCAGATGTTTCAGCATTTAATACTAATTATGTCTAATTTTTTCAGTCTAAACCAGAGACTTAAGTTGCTTTTTGGTACTTAAGATGTTTTTATTTAATTTTGAGTGTTTAGTCATTTGTGACTAAAAATGTGCAATTTCACAAATTTTCTCCCCTTCTCATTTGGGTAGTATAAAGCAAACTTGAAGGTATAAGAAACTTCCCAAAATATTTTATGCTAAATCACTTTTTCTCTCTTCTTGTCAATATGTACTTTGGCATCTTTTATAAAAGATGGTAAAATTATGGCTGTATCCTCAAATTTGGGAAGCTCTAAAACTTTTCTTTCACTTTCTAGCATTTATGAAGTGCAGCAGTGAAAGGACAGCCCCGGTCATTGTCTTTGTTTCCAAAATGTTTGCAGTTGATTCTAAGGCACTACCACACAACAAACCAAGGTAAGAAAAATGTAGGGATTGACCTTCCATTTTCATTGCACCAGGCATCCCCAAGGAACTGAAACATAGTCTAAGTTTGGATAGATTGCTTTTGGTTTGAATCACTCAGGGTGGGATACGGTTAAATAAAGTTAATTTAGATCAGCAACCCAAAAGTCCAGTTTAAAACCATTTTTATCAGCTTTTCCATTGTATGCCTTTCTTCAAAAAACCAAAAAATGTATTTTTTCATTGGTTGATATAACAATTAAAACATGTTGATTTACAACTAAATCATGTTTTTACAGTAGATTTGGTACATATGTTTCTTAGGTACACGAACTACATGCAGTAAAAGCTCTGTTATCCACCATCCCCCTGGAATGGGGGATGTCAGATAACAAAATATGCCGGTTAATTTAGTGGCCCTGGCCACCGCTTCTCCTGATGTCTGGGGCGCCGCTCCTGTGGCATTGCCGCCCCTCCTGTGGGCCCTGCAGGACAGGGAGGTGGGCCCCACACAGCCTGTTATGCCCCCAGGCAGTGGGGGCTCGGCAGCGTAGGCTGCTTTGCCCCGAGCCACGGGGGCTCGGAGAAACCAGAAGTGCCATGGTGGGCACTTCCGGTTTCACTTTATCTTACAAGCCAGCATGCCAATGGAGCATGCTGGCTTGTAAGATGCCGGTTAACCGAACTTTTACTGTACATATATGTTTTAAAGTATATATAGGTTATTTGGATCATTAGAAGTACTACATATAGTATGCTAAAATGGTGAAATATGTAGTTCTTATTCACTTGAAAATTAACTTAATGATTACTTTTGCTCATATTTGTATAAAGCTGTGTTAAGATGACAACTTGAATTTAATTTAAACGCGCAAAACCAGAACTTCAAATTTATTAAACCAAATTTTAATGTTTTGGATACAGAAACTTTGTTTTTTAATCAAAATATGGTGCACATTTACAACTAACTAATTTATTAAACACTAGTTTTAACTGTTATAGTGTTAGAAGTCTGAACTGTGGCTAGTGTATTTAAGCCAATTATTTCAGCTCACTATGGGGAAAATTTTCTAAAATGCCTATGTAGTCATTTGAGCTTGAGTTCCTACTTGCTTAATTCTCTTTAAAATGAGATATAGTCATAATTTGTAATCTGTTTTGAAACTTTTTAATCCCTTTCAATTTTTAGAACTCCATCAATCTCATCTTCTTCCCTTTTTTAATTCATAGACTGGAAATGAAAACAAGCTTTCCTGCTTTTTTTTAGTTCCCAATCAATTTTTTTTCAGCTTTGCATGCTCCATCTCCTTTCTCTGCACCAGAAATTAACAACAAACCAAGATTTCTTCTCCCTGTGACTAACCCATCATACCCTTTTCCCTTCTCTTCTCCCTCTCACCCTAATAAACGATATTTTCTGCTATTGGATCTGAAGAGAAACCAGGGGTTCTGTTATTGGAACCCCTTAGCCTTGTGTGCTGTAGTATTTTAGTTTAGAGGCATGGATAGAGCACTTGAAAAGTTGATGTTTACATCTCTCTACATATCCAAAGGGACCAAGAAAAGCATTGAACTGAAGTACCCAGAAACATTAAGAAGCAGGAGGTTTGTAGTTACTGAGTAGATGGTTGTTTTCCCATGAGCTGGAGAATAAGCCTCCATTGTGGGTGCCGATTCATAAATATTCATGATTTGAGAGCTGAACTAATCAGAGGTAAGAGAGAATAAAACAGGAGTTAGATACCATCCAGGTGGACTCAGTGGATAATCCTTATCAAGGAGTACGTATGATAGTGTCTGATGGAGTCAGGGGCCAGATTCCAACACCTATGATGACTTCGCTGATCTTTTGCATCCAGTGGTTTCGATTCTGCATCTTTTGCAGGGTCAGACTCCTAATGCATGAAATATTGTGCTATATCTTTAAGGCTTGACTTCAAAAGTTGGAAGCTTTCCCCCTCATTCTGTATATAAAAGAAAATCAGCCTTTAACTCCACAGGTTTTAGTAGAGGCTCTTTGACTCAACATGCTTTATTTAAAGCATTTAATAATGATACTAAATTTATACCTTAGCGTATGCTATATTACATTCAAATTTCATTTTAAGGTGGCTTATTTTTAAAAAGGAAAACTTAATTATAATTTAAATAAAAAAATCAATTTAAATTAAAAAAAAAAATCAATTTTTCCACCCTGGAATCACTATTCTTTAAACTGAATCAAATACTTGGAGCAAGGAGGAGGAATGTTGGATAAATTTAAGACTGTTATTGTTTCATGTATTTTGAAAATCTAGTGTGCATGTTTAAAATCAGTTTAAATATTTAGCTTTAAAAAATATGTTTAAAAAGGTGTTTGGAAAACAAAATTATTAATTTAAACCCATATGCACAGAGATGGCTAGGCTTGTCTGTCTGTCAGGCAGAGGTTGGCAAGGCACGTGCAAGGGTCTAAGTGGTCAAAGAGGTCTGAGCTTTCATGTCAGTAACTGATAAAGTAGGTTGTTGCCTGTGAAAGCTCACGCCTCTCTGAATCAGAGCAGGGTATTAGCTTAGAGACTTCTGTCTGCTTAAACCCATGTGGTATCCTGATATCTTCTTCTTGTGTCCAGTCTGAGATTTGATGACAGGTATTTAGCAGAATTCACAGATTCGTTAGAATCTGACAGGTCCACAATGTGAGCGCTTCTGCTATGGCCATTAGGGCAGTTGGAACTGATATTGTCTGTTGTTCAAGGATCCTTGTTTGATAATATGGTTGAATTATAGTGCTTTTTATTTAGGGTAAATGCAATACTTTGAGAAGTTGGCTCTGTTCCAATTTTTAAATGCTTTTAAGGGTTTTTTTGTGATAGCTTTTATTGTTTAATACTTGTGTAATTTGCTCCAGGGGTTGGACCTGCCATGATTTCATGTATTCCCGATACACATTTTATAACTGTTTCAGCTAAAGCCTTTCACAATTTTGAATAATGTAATACTTCATCTTATATTCAGGGGAAGTAGACTTTCCTGAGACGTTTATAATAATGGGATTTGTTTTAAATTTTTATCCATGTAAGCTAAGCCACTAGAGCATTTTAGATGGAGTTGACTTTTCTGTTCAGCAACGCTTTCGTGAATACTGTGACAGCTTTTCACTGTAGATTGAATGATATAGAATATATTTGCCCTGTTAACTAAATTACTATTTATTATTACTATTTCACTCAAAATTATCATATACCCAGTCTTCCTTATTGTGGAATTTATGTTGCTTATTGCTGTGCTAATATTTGAAAACTGTTTTGGTAATGAAAATATTACTACAGTGTTGCATTCCAGTACCTATTAAATAAATTCTGTCTGAGTTCATTCCTTAACAATGATAAAGAATTCAGTTGGTGCTTGGTAACTTAAAGTGTTTTGATTGTCATCGTTTATCATGTCCAGCTGAAAGTATAAGTTTAATAGTGGTAAACTAAGCAAATGGAATTATCCTTGTTTTACTTATTTTTCCACAAGGACTTAAAATTCTTCCAGTGGATTATGCATAGTAATATTCCTTAATTTTTATTTTACTGCTAACATGATGCAGAAGCCTCATACTTGTAATGCACAGGTTTTAATGTTTGTTTAGTACATTACTTGAAGCCATAGGATTAATAGTGTTACATACGCATAATTTAATCATCTAGATGCCTGTTTGGTGATGGACTCTGGAGGTTTATGTGAACCTTATATGAAAAATACTTGGTTCCAAGCCAGGTGATAATTATGAGATTTGCCAACTAGTACAGGTAGAGTTAAACTTTCTACTAATGCAGTTGATTTTTAAAGAACTCAAATGTTTAATTATCAAGGTTAACCTCAGAATGATGGCTGTTAGACTCTTTCCTTTCCAAAACATCCTCAGATACAGTTTCAGTGGCAAAGAACTGAAATTAGTTTGAGGTGAAACATTTAAATTCACACTTTTTAATATGTTCTTGGATGGTAACTTGCAAAGAGAGCAGTGGATTACGTGTTTGTTCTTGCTGGTATTATATTTTCCTTTAGAGTATCAGGCAAAACAATCATTTGCATTGGGGGACTGATGCACTGGATTTATTGACTGTGAATCTGAACACTAGATGGTGCTATCCTGCTGTTTTATCAGTTTAGCAGTTGTGTATTGAACATGTGGCAGGATGGCTCCTATTTATATTTCAGCTAGTACAGCACTGACCTATTTGAAATGGTTTCCTGCTGTGTCTACCCATGGTAGATGCCCTGGTGGCCAGAAGAAGAAATTACCATAAGCGACAATTTGTAAACAAGAAATATAATCTCCCCCACCAGAGTTACCTGCAGGAACTGCTCTCTAGGCTGCCTGACAGCCATGCGCATGCATGTGAACATGGTACCCCTTGCTTGCCCGCCCTCCTCCCGCTCCCTCTCAGCCCCATGCAAGCAGGATCTCTGCCAGCCTGCAAAGAGCTCTATGCAAAAGCGCAAAGTCCATGTGTTTCTCCATTAAAATAAGAAATTGACATTTTTCTCAGGGGTAAAAGGGGAAACCCGCATTCTT